TAATCAGAAACAATTCCCCTTTTGAAAAGATTAAATTTAGTGGGAATCTATATGTCATTTTCCTTTGTCAGCGACTGCACCATGAGTGTAAGTTTTTTTTTTTTTTAAATAGTAAAAATTTTATTTTTTAGAATACAAGGTACTCCAACCCATAAAGAGAGAGTGAAGAGCAATTGAATGAAGAAAATGGAGCATCTAAAAGGATGAAAATAGGAAGTGAGAAACCTAATGAAGACCTTATCAAATATCCAATTGATGACCTTCTTGTGCAACCTGGTCCAGATGATCCAGTTTTCACTGATCGTCCTTCAATGTCAAGGGAATTTAATGTTCCAACGGATGTGTGAAGATTATATTATATTGAAAAGTAGGATGATGATATAGCAACTGGCCATAATATAATAATAGAAAAAAAAGACCATATGCAATCAAACATAATGACTTAATATAATATATTTTATTTGAGAATATTTCAAGTTATTTCTTTGATGTCTCAAAAATCTATTTTAAAAAAAATAATGTCTTTCTTTTTCTTTTTCCTTGCTTGTTCACATTTTAACTGTTCTTGTCTGGCAGCAGCTTCTTCTTCTTGCCGAACCTTTTCTCTATTCTCATAATTGTACACATTCTACCGTTTTGAGAGTGATTTTGAAAGAACATCATGGGACAAAAAAAAAAAGGAGGGAAAAAAAAAGGAGAAAAAAAAGGGAAAAAAACCCAACTTTCTAAATGGATTTCCAATAGGCTTTGTTGTGAAACCCCTTTTTCATTTTTACCCAAATCACTCAGCAAGTGATGAAGGCATATGGTAGGCCCACTATAGCTCAAGATCAAGCATAGAAAGCAGAGGAGATAGTGTGGAGAGGCAAGCTAGACCAAGAAAAGAAGGTGTTCGTGGATTCTACAACAAGTAGTTTGAAGGGAAAAAGAAATGTATGATGAAGGTGCAGCTTGAGAAAGGAAGAAAACTCAAAGCATGCGTCAAGTCTTGTTCACCGTCAAGTTGAATCTAATCCTATGACCCCAAGGAAGCTGTAGATGCAAATGAAAAAGAAAGAAAACTCAGCAACAATCCAAGGGAGGACAAAGCTCCTGCAATGGATGAGGAATTGCTGAAAATGTTTAAAGCTCGAAGAATTTGTTAAAGCAACAAATCTAGGCAAGATGAAGTTGCGGCATTGTAGGAGGAACTAACATGCTAAGGAAGAGGGGCTTGCAGCAACAACAAATCAAAAAGCAAGGCATATATAAAAGGTTGCAAATGGCTGATTCTAAATACTAAATTAAATTTCTTGATTCTTATTTCGCGCAGCTTTAACACCAAGGAGGAGTGTTGGAGTTGTGGTGCCAAACGCTGCAGCACAGTAGCAAAAAAGTGACAGCAACATGGGCTGCAAGAAATGGCAGCAAACATCTTAGTAAATGTGCTCGGTAGCCAAAGTTATTGTGTTAGATAGAAGTTATGCATTCGGTGAACATTGAGTGAAAAAAACATTATTTTATATTAAATTTTTTTTTTTGCTATAAATAGCAGAACATCAATAGAAGAAAACTTGGGCTTTCACCTCAATAAAAAAAGAGTAATGATTTGCGGGACGACGTTGCAGGCCGATTTTTGGGGGACGACAAGTGAAACAGTCCCAATAGCAATTACCAATTTGACCCTGCTTCACTTGTCGTCCCCCAAAATCGTCCCGCAACGTCGTCTCGCGGATCATTACTCATAAAAAAAACGAAACTTTGGGTGTCTCTCTTTCTCCTACAAATCCTCTCTCTACTTTGAAAAAAAAGAAAAGCAAAAAAACAACCGAAAAAACCCAACATTCTTGCAGCCCATTTGCAGCTCCATTTCTTGCAACCCATGTTGCTGTCACTTTGCTGCTAGTGTTTTTTGGAAAATTCACACTTTTTCAATTATGGGGTATCAAACACTAAATCATGATCTAAATACAAACTAATTTTAGTATTACAAAGAAGACAAACTAATTTTAGTACTACAAAGAAAACAGTGACGGTTTTTTCTTCGACAATGAAATAAATACGAGAACTGCAATAAAAAAAATAAATATGAGAACTACCAAAAACAAAATATATCACATATTATATATAAGAAAAGGAAAAATCATGACATTTTGGTATTAAAAATTTTAAGATATCCAATCAAAACTATTAAATATGTAAGGTATAGTGTAGATCTTAATTTTATCAAATTTATCATATAATTATTATTGGACGTCTTGATATTTTTATTACTAGGATATTGTGATTTTTCCTTTTCCCATAATATATACTAATTTTTTCCCAAAACTTTAAGGGGACTAGACCTTTGACCCTAATGATCCATCCTTGATTGTTTCTAAGTTAAACTCTTAATTTGGTCCCTCAATTATTGTATGGACCTCCGATTTGGTCCTTATACTAAAAAAATCCCCAATTTGGTCCCTCAACTATTATACGGACCCCTAATTTAGTCATACTGTTTATCAATTTGACCCCAACTGGGTCCTTCCGTTAAAAAATCATTGATGTGTCCGTTATTTAACTATCACGTGTCATGTTAATAATGAGACATGTTATCTACTTTTGTATGGAAAGACCAACTTGGGGTTAAATTGATAAATAGTATGGACTAAATTAGGGATTTTTTTACTTCAAGAACCAAATTGGGGGTCTCCATACAATAGTTGAGTGATTAAATTAGGGATTTAATCTTGTTTCTAATAGTTAATCCAAACAGGCTTAAGATTGAGAAAACCATTGATCTCTTCTACTACTCTATTCGGTGCCTGCCTCATGTGATTCTCTCTTATATATCACATTTTCCTTTGTAAACGGCTGCACCATGAGTGTGAATATCATATGCAAAAGTAGGATGATAGCAGCTGTGGCCATTATATAATATATAATAGAAAGAAAAGATTACACGCGATCAAACATATATAATGATTTATCAAGCATAAATGCATAATATATGTATTTAGTATCTTGGGCAAACAGCATGATTTCTAAAAAGTTGGACAAACTAATGGTGAATGAAGTTTGGCTAGATAATTTTCCATCCACTAAAGCATCTTTTTTGCCGCCTGGGTGCTCAGATCATTGTGCTGGTTTAGTTGAAATTACTTTGCCTATGGTTAGCAACAGAAGGAAGCCATTTAAGTTTTTTGCCCTCTGGACCAAGAATGAGGCCTTCTTGACAATAGTTAAACAAATCTGGGCTCTACACAGATAAAAGGTTGTGCCATGTACCAACTTTGTAAAAAGCTCAAGGTCCTAAAGCCAGCTTTGAAAAAGTTGAATACTGATCACTATGGGGACATACAGAGCAGATTGCAACAGGAAAGAGATAAGTTACACATGCTACAACTTGATCTATTAGCTAACCCACGTGAAGATTTAATACAAGTTGAGCATGAGCAGGCCAATAAAGTAGCAGCTTTGCAACTTGCTGAAGAGTCTTTCTTTAGGCAGAAATCAAGGGTTAAATGGCTGCAAGAAGGCGATAGCAATATCGCATATTTTCATAAAGTGGTAAAAATAAAGAGGATGAAAAATACAATTATTGAGCTCACTGCAATGGATGGAAGGAAACTTACAGCCTTATCTGACATGGAGGCTGAAGCTGTGCAATTCTACAAAAATTTGTTAGGAACACAAGATGTGAATTGTAGAAAGGTGGATAGTCAATGGCTCAAAGACTTGCTGCAATTCCAATTGCCAGAGGATCTATGTACTTTGCTTACACAACCGGTTACTGCAACAGAAATTAAGGCTATTGTGTTCAACAGCCCTGGACATAAGGCACATGGGCCTGATGGATACACAGCAGAATTTTTTAAGGCCTCTTGGGCAATTGTAGGTGATTTGGTGATAAAAGTTGTCCAGGAATTTTTTACAACTGGGAAAATACTAAAGGAATTGAACTCTACGTTGATAACCTTGGTTCCAAAGGTCTCAAATCCTGCTAAAATGTCTGAGTTCAGGCCAATCTCTTGTTGCAATTTACTTTATAAATTCATCACAAAGATTTTGGCTGAAAGACTCAAGAAATGTCTACCCCTTTTTATTAGCAAAAGCCAATGCGCTTTTGTGGAAGGCAGACTAATGGTTGAAAATGTTCTTTTGGCCCAAGAAATTGTAAAGCACTATCATAAGAGCTGCTTAAGCACTAGATGTGCCTTGAAGATTGATTTGATGAAAGCATTTGATTCAGTCTCATGGGATTTTATTTTTCAAATTTTGTTATCCTTGGGGTTCCCTAACAAATTTATAAATTGGCTTTCTGCTTGTGTGACCACACCTATGTTCTCAATTGTTTTCAATGGCAACTTATGTGGCTACTTTCCTGGTAAGAAGGGTATCAGACAGGGGGATCCTTTATCACCCTACCTCTTTGTGATTTGTATGGAAATTCTTTCAAGGTTATTAAATAAGGCAGCAGAAGAAGGAAAAATTGCCTACCATCCTAAATGTGCAAAG